TAACTGCCTGTCCTGCCCTACACTGGGACCGGGCAAGGACTTGTGCTATGGAAAAGGCCTTTCAGGAATTACTTGAGAAACAGCCAAGAGAGGACTAGCACCCAGGGCAACCTAGCAGAAAGAGCTGCTTGTCCTGCCCCATGAATGTGTCTGCAGCCATAACCCACTCACCTTCTCGCCTCTTTCACTTCTCTCTCCTTTCTCTCCTCTGAGACCTGGGAAACCCTATCACAACAATTTTTAGGTGGGGAAAAAGAGGAAAAAAAAAAAAAGGTTTTGTAAGTTCAGTCTGTGAACATCATGGCATCTCAGTTCATCAGCCCATCCTGCCGTGGTGAAGAATGACATTTTCTTCCTGTTTTACTTCGTGTGTCAGCAATTTCTTGGGAAAGCTGGAGTGCTCCCCCACACCCCAGTAATGTTACAGGTATTAGAGTTTCATTTGACTGAATCCCATACAAATATCCTCAGTTGGAAAGGAAAACCCCCACGGCACCTTTAGCCAAGCAGTTCCACTGTGCAGGGGAAGTATCCCAGCAACTGGTCTGAGTTCAGCCCTTTCCTACAGACATCATTCCATGGGCACTGTGTTTAAGGGAGAGTAGTCTGTACAATCTTAGCTGCATATTTTCCCAACAGTCTCAAGTTACATGCATGCTATTCATGTTTATACATAAATAATTAATGGTTTCCATACTCACATCCAATCCTGGCTCCCCCGGCTTTCCCTGCGGTCGTGAAAATAAAAATTAAGACATAAAATCAAAATCAAGACATGCTGTGTTGAGTTTGGTGCTGCAGACAAACTTATATCCAGTTGGTGTAATATGGTAGTAAGAGCACAGGCTCACTCAGCAGCCCCTGGGGTTGGAGGCTGCTCCTTGTGACCCACCAGGGTAGTGCTGGTCAGTCCAGCTCTGCAGCTCCGGCTGGACTCAGCCCCTGTTTTAGGATTTCACCCCAATGCCACCTCTCCTCTCCCACCCCAAGGATTACCTTCTCTCCTTTGGTACCAGGTAAACCAATGAGCCCTGGAGCGCCCGGGAGACCCTGAAGTTACAAAGAAACAGGGCATTGGGGTCATTGCTGTCAGGCAGGCTGCTGCCAACAGCCAGAAATGAGATTTGGGAAAACTACTCACAGCAGGTCCAGTGTCACCGTGGTCCCCCTTCTCACCAGTGTCACCTTTTTCTCCCTTTGCACCGTCCAAACCCTGCATAAATGAAATGGCATCAGCCAAGGAGAGCTGGCAGCTCTGCCCAGGGCAGCCACCCCACACACCCACCACCTCTCCTGCCCCCTTCTCTGGGGTGCTTTCACCCACACTGCTGGCCATGTTTTCCTCTTGGCCAAGTCATATAAGAAAATAGTTGAAAATGCAGGTTGAAGCCTTTTGGTTTGGAAACCCTGACTCACATGTGCTGCCAGCCCTCAGGACTCTGTGCTGGAGGAGGGTTTTGGGTCGTAAATGTGTTTGGAAGGACAAACTGCTTGTTTTCTGGAACACAAACTGCTGAACAGTGTAACCAAGGGATTTGTTGTGACAACAGTGACCCCAAAAAAAAAAAAAAAGTCAGTCTCCAGAGCTGACAGGCCTTTTGTGAGCCTGTAAATAATGCACTGGCAGCTGGGAAACTGGGTGACATTTAATTTATTGACTTACTTTAGGTCCCTGGATTCCTGGAGGGCCCTGTGGGAAAGACAATGGTGCATTTAAAAAAACCCAGAATTTATAAACCCATCCTAAAGTTTCCTTCCCAAACCATTTCTTGCTCAAATTATGGTCTGACAATGGCTGGCCAAATATTTCTTTTTGAGACAGGTGGCAGTTTATTTGGTCCTCTGATATCAAATTAGGGGGAAGGGGAGCTGGAAAGGACCACTTAGTGTATCAAGGGACAAATAAAGCTCTGCAACATGAGTTTTGGGGAGCAAGAGCCCCCCCAAAGTTTTGCTGAAGCAAATGACAGCAAGTTTGGGCACAGCTGGGACACCTCACAGGTTATGAAGGCCACCTGAAAAGCCACCTGGTTTTGACACATGGTCTCTCAAAGTGAATCTCAGACTCAGCAGAGACATCCTGGCCTTCCAGATGCCTTTGACAGCTCCTTTTGGAGCATTTCAGACACCAAACCCCTCAGATATCTGCATCAGAAGTGCTTCACTTGTTCACCACCCACATCCTCTCCCAGTGCAGCTGATGGCAAAGAACTTACTGATATGGGCAAACTTAGGGAATACAGACACCATCATGGTGGGGAACAAATTTTCCCATCCCACAAGGCTTTATCTTTTCTCCATCCCAAGGAACAACTTGGCTATTTGCAAAATGAGCCACAAATGCTGATGCACCCTCCTAAAATGGGTGCTTTCATCTCTCCAAAGACAACACAGCGCTGTAGCTCTTCCCTGACTTTTTTTCCCAGATTCACAGTAGCCCACCATGGTTAAACAGAGCAAACCACCCTTGTCCTTGACTAATCACATGCAATAACAGATCTGCAGCAATCACTTTCCAGAGTCCTACCATAGGGCCAGGTAATCCAGGGGGTCCAGGCTCAGGTATGATCTGTGGAAGGGAATTAAATGGCACATTAACAAGGCTGGGCATAGAGACAAGGCAGTTCTCCAATGGAAACCTCCCAAAACCCAGAATCATGTTTTAAAGCTCTTTGATTTAATGGCTTTAATCAAAGTATCTGCTAATCAAAGAGTTGCTTGTAGTATTTATAAATAAAAGAATCTTTATAAGCACACGAATAATCAAAGTAGCCTCTAAAGTAAGAGGCCTGACCAACACCACTCAGTGTATTTGCCAGTCATAAAATGGATGTAGTGATGCCATTTTTTGCACAGACTGGAGAAAACCAGACTTTTTAATTAAAAAAAAAAAACCCGAACCCACAAAAGCCAACAAAACAAAACAACCTCCCCCCCAAAAAAACCCCCCACACAACAAAAAAACAAAGCCTCAAACCAACACCCTGAACAAAATTAGAACTTCCCTGTCATTATTAAAAAACCCCCAAACTATCAAAACCTATCACTTCTTTTTTTTATAAGCAATTAGCATGAATAAGGAAAAAAGGATGCAGAAATCCCATATAACTGCAAGGAGCTTACTCTGTTTTGAGAACAAAACAATTATAACAGCAGTATCTCAACCATCAGTGCAAAATGTAAAGTAACTTCGTAGCTCAGTGTCCAAACTGCTCTTCCCTAACAAATAAACCCCATGTAGATGCTCCTGAAAGTTCTTGTAGACAACAGATGGGTTTTGCTGATGGATACAGGACTGGCAGGTCCAGCCTGCACCCCCCAACTTTGCCTGACCCCACATCATGGAAGAGGCTTTATGTTGCCGAGATCTTACATGATTGTTCTGCAGACATGGTGAGCCGGTGTCTCCTTTTTCTCCTTTGTCTCCTTTTGGCCCTTCTGCTCCCTGAAAGATAAAAATGTACCGTTGGTGTGGTGCATCTTCCAGCAAAGCAAAAACAAGAGAGAAAAATACATTTGTCCCCCTCTAAACTCCAGCCTTGGCTCAAGTAAAGCTCATGTTCATCCCCGGGGGGGCTTTGAAGAAAGATTTTCTCCTCCTTGGTACCTTCTGAACGAGCTGTTATCATCATCCTTAGAAATGCAAATTCAAAGCTCCTGCATTCACCGGCTTCCATGGCAACACGGTGTGGACAGGTCACTGCTTAAATCTGCCAACCTGGCCACACTCTGAGCATTTGCAGAAGTGACATTAAAGAACCAAGCAGCAGATGGACAGCACAGAGAGGGACATACCGGTGGACCCGCTAAGCCCATTTCTCCTGTCTCTCCTTTCTGCCCCGTGATCCCTGCGCTGCCCTGGTCACCCTTTGCTCCTTTGGGACCCTGCAAGTTGACAGAAAACAACGTGTTTAGGAGAAAACTGTTAAAAAAAACCCCACCCCAAACACAACAGCCCCTTCTGCCTCTCCACATTTGCCTCCACATCGCAGCGCGAGCTCACGAGGACACATTTTAACTTTCAAACTCACGTAGGCCAGTCTTGTGGGCACAGTAGAATTTGGCTGGGCCACAGTAGGGATTGCAGCCATTTAGGGTTGGGAAGTTTTATGAAAAAATTGGAGACAGCATCTGATGAACCACTCGTGAAAGGAGCCCCTTTAGCTCAGCAGACACGGCCGGGAGCAGCATTGGGATGGGGGCATCAATTCAAGGAGACAGAGCTGACATTACAGAGCAGAGCTTGCCCCTGGAAGACTGGATTTGCTCTTCACAGACCCACAGTATTTGTGTGTCTTTTTTATTTGGCTCCTGCAAGGCCTCACTCGATCCAGCCCAGCTCACCTTTTCACCGTCCAGTCCAGGTGGGCCCGGCAAGCCCAGCTCTCCCTGAAGGGACACAAGGAAAGGGGAGCACATGGTAAATTAAATCAGGAAATCATCTCAGGAAAGCATTTTGCAAGGAATGAGTTATTCACACACAACCATTGTGGTTATGGGTTTGCCACTGCCAGGCTCAGGACCAAGGAGGTGTCAGTGATGCACCAGCATTACTGGCTCATCCAAATATGAGACCTTGGGCACCAAAATCCTGTCCCATCTCATTCTTCCAAGATATGCTTTTCTGCAAATTACATTCTTCTTTTAAAGAAACTACAGCTGACTGCAGGGTACAGACTCCTGCTTGTGAAGCAGGAAGGCAGTAAATGGAACACGGGAAGGGTGGGACTGAGGTGGCTCAGCACAGCCATTGGCATTGCCAGCCCCTCTCACAACTGCTTCTCCCATTTGCTTCTGCTTCCTGCCACAGTGGTCTCAGAGGGACTGAGATTTCACCTGTCAAGTGTGGGACTGGGAGTGGATTCCTTTCTGGGACAGCATCCTCTGGAAGAGGCTGGAGACCAGAGACAGATCAACAAAACTTTGGGTTTTGTGTAAAAACCTCCTTTTTTCAGCCAGAGCAATTCCTTTCAGCCACAGCATTTCCTTTACCACACATAGCCTCACATTCCTCCTCAGGCAGCATCACCATGGGAGACTCCACATGGAGTGTTTCTTGGGAACACTGCATGGCAGGGGTTGAGCTCACCTTGGGACCTGGAGTGCCTTGGGGGCCGGGTGGCCCTGGGGGACCTGGTGGACCCTGAAACACAGCAAACAAAACAGGTTTGATCCTGACCAACATGAACATGGCACATGATCCTCGTGCTGGGGGGATGAGCCAGGAGCAGCTCCCAGCCACAACCTGCAACAGGCTCTCAGGTGAGTGGGGTTGCTCAAACACTGAGATGAGCTCCACTGACACAGAGACACCCAAGGTCCCTCTGGCACGGGGTTGTTCATGCAGAAGAAAACACAGTGGGAGTGAGCTGGGTGTACAGGTGCAGCAGCACATGGGTTAAGAGGCAAAATGCCTCTAGTGAGAGGTGTGGCCCCAAATCTGGTGGTTTCTTTTTGCATTCTGTGTGCTCCTGCCAGCTGGCCTGGGGAGCAGCATCCTGCTGGAAACAGCAGCAGCCAGGGAGGTGCAATTAAAGAGGGGAAACGAAGGAGTTTGTGTGAGCACTAACAGCACACTTAAGGAAGCTGTTTTTCATGGGCACTGATGGGTGCAGAGACCACAAACCACCTTGAGATGAACATGTATTTTCCAACTAGCAAATTATTTCAAACGGCAAAAGTTGTGGTCTCACTGAGATGAAAACCAAACCAGTATCGTATCCTCAAGCACCTTTTTCCATGGCTGCACACTCAAATGCTGTTACATTTAGTCACACTGGAATCCTTTCCAAAGCCTTGCCCATGAGATAGGTCAGTGCACAAACACTGCAAGCAGCTAATAAGCAGGAAAACAGCAAAGTTAGCGAGGTTCAGTGTTGTACCCCTCAGCAACCTCTGCATGCAGAACATAGGAGAGGGTCTGGGCCCAGCAGATGAAGCCTCCAGACGTTTGATGGAGCCTTTCCAACCACTTCACTCCACAAACTCCACTCCCAAAAGCTCCACGCCATGCAGACATCTGGCAAATGGAAATTACCAGCACTTTGTGTATCCCTGCAGCCTGTTATAAAACAATTAGGATGGTTCTCAATTGTCTGTAATTAAGTATTTACTCTATTCAGCTTATTCCATCCTAAGGAAAAAGGCAGGGCTCTGCTCAGTCAGGCAGGTCAGGGCTTGGGTGCTGTTCCCCTTCCTCCTGCATCCCCAGTGCTGCTTGAAGAGGGTGTACAGTGACAGTGACAGCAGCAGCTCCACACCACGGGAATCACACCCTGCTGCTGGCAGTGTCTGAGCTGTGATGTGGCTGCTCACACTCACTGCATCAGGTGTTTATATGGCTGTGTCACACTGCTTCTACCTGCAGAATATTAACCCACATCCCACAGCCAGATCCCACAAGCCTGAGCTCACAGCCTGGAGTTCTGCCACTGGTTTTTGTTGGTACATCCTAAATATCCTCAGCCCCCAGGTGTAATAAGCTCTTCCCTCCCAGCCAGCTCTGTGCCAAGGCAGAGATCTTGGGAAGGAGACACAGGACAGGAAGAAGATATCACAACATCACCAGGGCAGAGCCTGGCAGGCTTTCAGTCCTTTCCCATTAACTGCAGGACCCTGCATGGCCTCGGTGCAGGGCTTACCTTGAGTGCATCCAGGATCCGGCCGTCGTAGTCGATCACGACCGTGTCGCCCTGTTCCCCTTTCAGGCCAGGGGGACCCTGCAACCAGGGATGAATCCTATTCAATTTGACAGCACTGAGAGGTGGGTGGGATGAAAGCAAAGACCTGACATGCAGTGTTTGGGGGTTATCACCTCACAAACCCCACGGATTTAACCAGTCCCTGGTCTGACAGCTGGAACTGCCATCCAACCAAACCTCAAAAGGGCATCAGTTGGTGTAAGGGAGAAGTGCATGGAAATCCTCACTTGATCACCCCTATTCCCAGCTTCCCTCTTGCAAAAAAAAAAAAGAGGTTACAGGGTGGACTTGACTGATCTCCCAGAGCTATCTCCTGTGGCAGCATTTGGTACCTGCATAATCATTTGTTTAAATATGCACCATCTCTATTTTCTCGCACTGAACTGATCCTGAAGCAATTCAAACACATACTAAGCAGAAAGAGGTGGTGGGGAACAGCTCAGGTTGAGGCAAATACACAGCTCCAAACTGAAATCCTGAACATCCATACCCGGGGTCCAATGGAGCCAATTCCTCCCTTCTCACCGGATTCACCCTGAAAATCAAAATCACATTTTTGGTTCAAAGAGACCAAGGAAAATAGAGAATATTTATCCCGAAAATACTGTACCCACCCATAAGGATATGCTTTAGATTAAGTGTGACACCAAGAAGGGAGTGCTTCTCCCTGCAAAAAATAGATTCCACTTGAGAGCAAATATATTTTGCCACAAATAACATTGGTGTGGGTTGGCTGACAGTGAGAGAAGGTCTCATTGCAGAGGGAGTGGAGTGGCCCACTGAGGGCTGAGCCCCCAGTATTGGTGATGTGCCACTTTCCAGCTCCAAGCATGCCAAGCTTTGTGCTGGTTCCACATGGCTGTCTTTGCTTTAGGCTGAGTTTTGCATGTGGAAAGTTTCAGCCAAGATGTTTAAACCATTTTCAAGGGCGAGTTTAAGGAAAAGGGCTGTGCCAAATTGTTCTTTTTTTTCCCTCCTCATTTTTTTTCCCTTTCCCTCCCTTTTTCTTTTTCTTTCTTCCTTTTTTCTATATTTTTTTTTTGAAAATTAGGGAGTTTCAAAAAGCCACAGTACTCCCACAGCAGTGACCTGAAATTCACTTCAGGATTCAAAAAACACCCCATTTGCCATACCCATGTAAATCCCTTTGCTGACCAAATCAAAGCCCTCCAAAAAGTAAAAAATGGTAAAAATGCATAGAAAACCCCCCTAAATTCAAGAGATACCAGGGGGAACATCTGTTACTATGGATCTAGAAAAAAAAATTATTAAGAATCACCAGAGCCCACTTTCTTCATCACATGCCACAGCCATCAATCACATGAGATCAAAATGTGATCAGAGTTTTACCTCTCTTGAGGAAAAAAGCCATCCAATGGAAAACATTCCAGGAGACAATTTAAAAACTCTTCTACTGATCTCTGCTTGAACCCAGCTTGAAGTCACCAGGAAAAGGTAAAATACTCATAACATGCCCCTGTTTTGTGTCAGTTTTATTTACCTTGGGTCCTGGGAAGCCATCGGTGCCATTCTCTCCCTTGGGACCCACACTTCCTTTTTCTCCCTGAAAACAAGGCAATTTAGGCAAATGCTACACAGGGAGGGTGGAGAACAGAGTTCTTCAGGTTACTCTTTTCTTCCTTTATCTTCATTTTGCTACATGAGTGAGCAAAGCTCTGCTTTTGGCCGTAAAACACATCACGTTGTCTGGGTGCAAATGGGCAGTTTTTAAGAGATAAAAATGAAGCTTAACAGTTTGGCTGTGGGTGGTGTGTTCAGCCATAAAGTTGGCCCCAGAGCTGCAGTATGGAATCACAGAATGGTTGGGAGTGGAAAGGGATCTTGAAGATCACCTCATTCCAAACCCCTGTCATGGGCAGGAACACCTTCTGCTCAATCAGGTGTCCGAGCCCCTGTCCAACCTGGCCTGGAACAATTTCAGGGATGGGGCAGCCACAGCCTCTCTGGGAAACCTGTGCTGGGGCCTCACCACCCTCAAAGTTTCTGATCTTTTTTCTATGTCAGGGGAGAAATGTGCTTCACAACCTGCCCCCACTGTGATGTGGTGCCAAGGAACCAGACAGCAAAAGATGCTTCCAAACACATGCACCAGATGGACACAGAGCAGAACATACCTTAGGGCCCACAAGTCCTGGTTCCCCAGGGATCCCATCATCACCCTGGTGAAATAAAATGTAAAGAGTGAAATACACAGACCTTGTACACATTTATTAGGATCCAACACATCATTTGACCCAACTGGAACCTGGAACCCTCTCAGGTTTGCAGGAGGTCAGGGGAGAGCTGCAGCAAGGAGCCCAGGAGGCTCCAGAGTGGTCCCCTGCTCCCACCCATCCCTGCCTCTGCCTTCCCTGCTCCTGGGAAGGTGGATGGGCATCTCTCAGAATTTGCTTACAGCAGGTCCTGGGAAAGGTGCTCTCCCACCTTCAATAGAAACTAGATATTTAATCCCTTTAAGGATTTTTTTGTCCCTGTAAGCTGCCACCCATCCTCATGGACTTCACCACAAGTCACCAACACCACCTGCCAGGAGGGGGTTTTCTTTTTCTGCTTGTCGTGCTTCATTGTTCTCCTGGAGTAAAACCACTTCATAGGTGCTGGAGAGATTAATTTTAGAGGCCAGTTATGAATTTTTTTTAAGCCAAATTCTGGCCTGAAAAATGCCCACAGCCACCTCTGTTTTGGTGCAGAGCAGTAAGAGGGGAAGGCTGAGCCCTGTCAGAGCTTTGGTTTCAGTTAAAGGCAGTGATTTATCCACGAGGAGAAAATGTGGAGAGCCTGGACATGTGAATCTCTCACAATCTTCAGTGCCAGACCCAAGCAGGCTGTCCCTAAGAGGGGCATTTCCCACGGGACTGCAGTTCTGCACAGGGATGCCCATCCCAGGAGCTTCAAGCTCCAGGCACATCTCTGTTCAGCCTGAATTATTGGAGCCAAAGGGCTCAAGACCTACTGCTTTGCTTGGCATTTGCTGTTTTATTCTTTGTCTAGTGGGCAGATGTGATTGCAGCTTCTGGCTTGCCTGTGGAAATGAAAGCAAGGCTGCAGGAACGGCTGTGCCTGAAATTTAGGATCACTTGGGTGAGAAACCCCAGGGGGACACAAGGAAAGGGTTGGTATGGACATCCATGACCACAGCTTCTCCATCAGTCTTTGGCAATGATTTTCCTAGTCAAGCACAGAGCAAAGCAAAGAAAAAATAGAATAATTAAAAAAAAAAAAAATCACCATTTTACCTTTTTCCCTTGGACTCCAGGCTCACCCTTCAACAGCAATGTCAACAGAAGAGAAAGAAGTTAAGGGACATAACAGAAAATAAGATCAATTGTATGGATAGTCAGAATCAGTTGTAAAATTAAAATACTTGGCTTGTGTTGATCATCTTTATCCCCCCCAAAAAGCACATTCCCACAGCACAGCAGATTCCAGCCCCCCTGTGGCTCCCTACACCCCTGTTTCCAGGTTTGAACATGGGCAGTGATTGTGATATTGAGGAAGTGACACATTCAGACATTTACACCCCCAGTCAATGGCTAATGCAATACCTTGGAATTTTATATCTGGTATATACAGATGAGTGCAAAATGCTTATTTTCATCTCCACCCCTCTTATACAGCATAATTTCAAGAATTCACATGTAAAACAAGAGAGATTATCACCCACCTTTGGTCCTGGAGGTCCTCTGGCACCCTGTTGGATACAGGAGTGATTTACTTGTTTGACAACAGAGTATAACAGCATAAAAACATTTCCAAGAGTACTTAAATTCCATGGGAAAAAAAAATTACACAAGTGCCAACTTCTCATCTTCCTTTATAAATTACACTGTTAAAGTTCTCTGTGCTGTCAAGTAAATAATATTCTTTTATGGCTCATGTATTTTATGTATAATAAGCACCTTTTTGTCCAACCTGAACCTTAGGGAATTGGGAGTACAATGCCAGGTGGCTTCAGAGGGGCAGAAACCAGGATACAGGAGCACCACATCCCTCCAGAAGAGCCAAGGGGACGAAATAACTGGCCTCTTTTCTCCCCAGGGCACAGGTACCCTTGGACAAACATCCATTTTAGGGCAATCTAAATTTCACATGGCTTTCTTTTGGACTCCATAAGCAACAACAAACCCTCTTGGCTGCAGTGAGGTGAAGGGTTGATGTAAAGCAAGGGGTGAGGGACACACACACACACACACAGGTGCTCCTGGGCAATACTGACCATGAGTCCTTCCTCTCCTGGCTCGCCTTTGACACCCTGTGAAAATGAGAAGAAAAACGTTGGAACTATTACCTGTTACAGCCTCCAAAATGACCAGCAATAATTAAGAACATTCCACTGCATTATCCCTTAGCCTGTTTTTTCATTGAATAAGTTGCCAGTGGTCTGCAGGTTTGCAGCAGGTCACCCTAAGGCTGTGGATTGGGGAAGAGATCTCTGGGGTCTCTCAGTTACAACACCTGCAAATACCTGCCCAGGTCCAGCTCTTTGCTCCAAAACTTAAGACAGAAGATCCCTCCTCCTACTCCCTGCCCCAGAGCTTGGCTCCACGGGCAGCCATGGGAGCCCAGCAGTGGCTCAAGCTGGGGAGCAGTGGCTGGGGTGGCAGCACTGGGGAAGGGACACCCTTCACCCTCCTCTCCCTCGGGGGTGGGAACTGCCCGGCGTGAGCTCGCTGCGCATCTCCCGTCCTTACAGGGGAGCCTGGAGGTCCTCTTGGGCCATCCTTTCCCGTGTCACCAGGAGGCCCCCGGGCACCTGGGGGTCCTGGTGGACCAGGGGGGCCCGTGGCTCCATCTCGACCTTGGTCACCCTGGAAGAAGTTCACACAGACACGGTGAGATGAAGCGGCGTCGGCAAGCGGTGGCTGCAGGGTGCCCACAACACATGCACTGCATCCCTGGGCCACCAGCACCCTGGCCTCTGCTGTCCCAGGGGAATTTAGTTACAGCTGCCAACTGGGGAGGTTGAAAGTGAGCTCATGGCCAATTTATGCCCTTTGGGTCTGATTCCTTAACCTAGATCGTGCTCAAAGCCTTCCAACGAGCTTTTATCTCATTAAGCCCTTAGCAAGTGACTGTCTACATGGAAACTACCAATTCAACAGCACCCAGAAATAACTCAGACCCACAACATGCTGGCCTGGAGCATGCACACACTGCCACAGCTTAGTGCACCACACCAGAAAAGCCACACAAAAAAAGGAGCAGTGCTTAGTCTCATCCTTTAAACACAGCCAAGGCCATATATTATCATCCAGAGTCACTCACACCCTGCATTGCTTGGGTGCAGAGGAAAAGCAGCAGCAGGATCTCTGTGTGGCTGTGAAGCTTTGGTGGGAGCATCCTGAGGGGCTCCATGATCGAGTATCCCAGCCCAGCCCCAAGGCCAGGTCCATCCATGTGGCTGCACAATGGAAAGCCTCATGGAAAGGCAGCCTCATAAATCTTTTAGCAACATCTGGAAGAGTCACCACCGAGGCAGTAAGAGGGCTGTATTTAATATGTGGTTCACCCTCAAATCAGGGACAAGTGTGGGATTTTTCAGAAGTCCTTAAGTGACTTAGCAGCACAAATCCCATGGCCTTTCAACAGGATCTGGGCTCCTAAATCACTTGCACAGTTTTTTAAAAAACCCTATTGCAAATGCTGAACACTGCAACCAATTATGTCAAGTCTCCCACTGAATTTTTCCTAATTAAAATGTCACATTTAGAGTATCAAGGATTTAGCTTACTCTAGTTTTAATGTATTTTATTTTACAGTACCAGCACTGTTCATATCAACATTTATAGGACTTTGCTGCTTGATTCCAAAATCTCACAAAGAAGCAAATGCTTAAACCCATTAGTTTTTTGTCTCTCTACTTCGACAAACACCTGCCCTAAACTCTGATTGGGTTTCACTCAAACACCCCCCCCACTGAGCATCTGTAAACACAGCCATGGTAGTGGCAATTTAAAATAGCAATGGGAAGAAACAGAAGCAGCTCAAAGAACCACAACAAACCAGCAGATTTGGTGTCTACCTTGAGCATTCGCCGACTAAAGACAAGCTGATCATTAGCCAGAAATCCGTGATTGAGGTGGGGGAAAACCATCTAGCCAGGGAAAGTGGGAGGTAGAAGAAGAAAGAGCAACAGTTTAAGGTGAAAGCACAGCAGAAGAGTGAGTTTTAAAGGCTACATCAATATATAACAATTTGTCTTTGATAATTAATTGATGCATGAGAAAGAAATAGTCTTGGTAGCCATCAGTGGTGGTTTTAAGGTTCTGGATACACTGGACCTTGGTAAGCAGGACACAGACTGAGGGAAACAAGCATTTTTTCATGAATTTACTGCACAATAGGACATCCAAAGCAGCTGGGACAAGAATTCCCCTACTGCAGAATAAAGAGCATTATTCCAGTAAACCCCACAGGGGATATATCCCAGCATTTCCCTGAGACCAAATATTATATTTTGTTTTCAGAGGCTAAAATGAATACTGATGTATTCCCCAGCCTGCAAATTGCAGATAAACCTCTCAGATTTATATGATGCAAAAACAATGTATTTAGACCATGTCAGTAGTCATTGCTATTGTCTTTTAGCCTTTCCCCTCATCATCTAGGGAGAAACAGTAAGACACTTCCTTTCTCAGGGCACCACGTGCAACTCCCTTTCCTCCACCAACCCATCCCTGCACACATCCATAGGATAATCAAAGGGGTGGGGTGAAGCCACAAGAAGCCCTGGGAGAACACAGAGCACATCCTTCATGAGGATTTTTGGAGGTTTCTAAGGAACAAACCTCTTTTTCAAATTGCCAAGGAGCTTTTAAGCCTTATACACCAACAACAGATAACCCCAAACCTCAATTTTAGTGTAAATAGTGCAAGGGCAAGGCCACCTCCTCCTCAGGCTTAGCCACAGGCATGCACAGGAACACTGAGCTCAGATGTTTTATCACCATCTTCTCAAAAAGAGAGGGGAAAGTAAAGTCAGATGGAAAAAACTAACCAACCTGAGAAAATAAACCCCTCCCAATGATTTTTTTCAAACTACAGAGAGAGGCTTCAGCTCAGCACTCAAATACAGCCATTTCTGGGAAGAATGTCACTGAAATCCTGACAAATTGAAATTAATGGGGACATAGACCCCTTGCACTTGGCCAGACCCTCCAGATACTACAGAAACCACCAAAAAGACTCTACTGAGAGCACAGGGTTTTGTGGTAGACACAAAAGACACAGTTTTATGGCTTATTATGTTCATAAAGATACACAAGGGCATAAAGTGGGATTTTCATAAAAGCCCACAGAGCAAGGCAGAGACTGAAAGGTGAACATCTCTGAGAGTCATTAAACACAGAGACACCATCCCTGGTTCAGGAAATGCCCAGGCCACAGATAACCAGGATCCAGGAGAGGGGTTAATTGTGATGGAGCTTCATGTTCCTGCTCCACACTTCCCAAAGCACCTGGTTGCAAGGCACTGGGCTAACTGGCCATTGGGTCTGACCCCATGGAGCAGTGGAATGTTAGAGCACTGAAACCTTGAGCACTGGTAATTTCCAGCTTTAGACAACTCCATTCAGCCACTTCAACATAATGCTCCAAAGTAAGCAAACAATAAAATAAAAGCATCCAGAGGTGTCTGTTGACTGTCACAGTGAGCTCTGCAGGATACTTCCTATGCTGAGTTTTTATCTGCAATTTGAGCTTGGCAGGCACTTACAATTTTGCAGAAAGTAAGAGAGAAAAAGCTCCTTTTGTGGAGCAGAGCTGCAGAGCTGGTTCAGCCACACCAGCGTTCAGCTCCCCCAGCAGCTCAGGGTGCAGGTGGTGCTGGTGCCATCTCCATCAGCACTGGCCATCGAGCAGGCCCGTGCCACGAGGGTCACTGCAGGCAGAGCATTTCCCTCACCAGCTGCAGCCCATCCTCCCCCCCTCGGGAGCAGTGCTGGTGCTGCTGCCACAGGCACGGCGCATCCACCAGCCCAGATGTGCAGATTCATCAACCCCATCGTTTGTCTGAACATCTGAGCTGTCAGTAAGAACAAGATCACCCAGCTAAGGTCATAAATCCAGAGCAGTCATCCCGGTGCCGGCTCAGGGAGCGAGTCTGGCTTATAAAACCGGTCCTTTTGGGAGGTGTAGCAGAATACTTGATGTTGAGTGAGAAGTACAGGCACAAATACCAGGGCACAGCCTTGGCAGCATCCTGCCTCCACTGCCTCCATCCTCTCCAGAGCAGAGGGGTTCTGTAACTGGTTTCAGATCACCTGTAAATACACCTCCATGAATTCCAGCAGTGTATTTGGGTACCTTTATTCCCCATCCTGACCTGTGAGGCTGCACAGCATCCTCCCTCATGCTGTTTACAAGAACGAGCATTCAGTGATTAAGACAACCCAATGTGATCTTCCTCAGCTTTCCAAAATCACCTTCCAACATCCGCCACCAGGCACACTCAAACATGTAATAATCTGTATTTTTGTCCATGCTGGTGGCAGGTGTTTATTACAGACAGAAAGAGAAGCAGTGCAGACATGAACATATTCAGTAGCTAATCCCCAATTGCCATCACCTCACTCCCACGGCAGACAGTCCCTCCAAAGTTGCCCCAACCATTGTTCTCTTTTAATCTGTCATTCTTATGATGATATTTTAATGTTCACTGACACAGTCTATCCCCACTCCACCACCCATAGACATGAACATTTACGAGGGAGAGGGCACTGGACATAGTCCTATAACTATAATTTATCCTCCCATTGATGCGATGACTTGCATCTTTCAAAATCAGCTAAACAAAGCCACCACTGAAACTGGAGGAAGAAGACAGATTAAATTCAGAAAAAAAAAAACAATCTGGGCCAGATGGTATTAAGAAGTTTCGCATCCAATTCACAACCCTGAGTGTCTGGAGAGATAAAGGAAGCTATTTTCAAAGACAGGCACCTGTTTTTAGATCTACTTGTGCCTGGCTCTGCCAGGCTTGTTTCTCCCTCTTTCCTCCCAAATCGTTTTTGAGCCTTTTTCTTACTCTTGTGCAAAAAGACATAAATAAATCTACAACTAAAGCAAAATCTGGACAAATGCAGATCAGGACAAAAAACAAAACAAAGAAAAAACCAAAAAAACAAGCACTTTTTTCTTGGTAAATTAAAACATAGGACAAGTGTTACCTTGGAAGCTGTCACCTGCCCCACAATTCCAGATACAGCCTGTCCTGGAGCATCTCCCACAGCAGCATCTCCTCAGCCATCAGCCCCAGCAAAGGAGTGAAAACTCACACCCCTGTGCTGCTGAATCACCTCTTAAAGCCTTTTCTGAGTATGTGGGTGGGCACTCAGACAAAGTGGAGACTTTAAGCTGAGCCCCTCCTTAGCCACACAGGGCATAAATCTATCAGAGAAATTTGAGGGGCTCTCAGACCCCAAGGGTGACATTTCCCAACACGCCCAAGGCATTTGGGAGCCGCTTCAGAAAATGACGCCAACTTCCAAAAGTGACTTCACAAGGGAGAAAAATAAAGATGTCTCTGATGCATCTCTGCCTGACATTAACCACTGAGGCCCTGGTTGTGTTTCCAGCAATGATGTCAAACCCTACCAGCCAACTTTTTACAGTTACTTTAAACCCTTTGTTTCCAAAGGCAGCCTGGATATCACCTGTGTGCCACCACGTTCCCAGGTGGGGGCTCAGCAAGACAGGAGGAACATTCCATCCTGCACAACACTGTGCCTGACCTCTCCTTGGGGCACCAGGCCCTACCATCATGCAGTGGTGCTCTAATGCCAACAGATAAGGAGCTCAGCTTCAAGAGAAACTGTCTCTGACACTGGAAGAGGAAATCAGGGATAAGAAAGTTCAGTAGAAGTGAAACCCTTCACGAAGAACCCAAGGATTTTCAAGTCTTTTTTTCCTCATGGCCAAAGTGAGGAAAACCACCACCAAGACAAAAGAGCTCCAAAGGCAAAATTAAACATTTCCAGAATTGTTACCATACCTCAGTTTGCAGCAAAGCTGCACACAAAGCCTTGTTTTGTGCAGTGACTAAACCCAACCAGACTTTGGAATAAATTAACGTGCCGTGTCACTACTTACCCTTGGGCCGACGTCCCCTGCTTCACCCTGCACATCAGGCAAAACAGCAAGGTCAGCTGAGAGTTCAAATGTCAACCCACAAGGACCAAGCACAGGGTCAGCTGGATGTGGGTACAGCACACAAGGGAAGTGGCAAGAGTGTTCTATTGCTTAATGTATTCAAAACCAGGGAGGAGAAGGGCTCGAGACAACACAATAGGGAAGGGTTCTGCCCTGGCAGGCGATGAGACACATAATAAATCAGAAATAGCAGATTGTTCCCAACTCTAAGGCTCCCCTAGCAACTGCTTATGTCCTACACATGTGAGAATTATCTTCACTTTCAGTACAGTAATGACTTCCTTTGGCCACTCTCATGTCATGCAAACACGGAGCGATGGAGCCCAGAGCTCCTGGAGGAGCCAAGAGAGATTTATGCCAATCTCGTGACCCTTAAGGGCTTACCAGAAACCCTATAGTGTGGGTGAGCTTTAAGACCACACTTATCCCTCCTAGTTTTTTGCAAATTCTTCCTGCCCACCCTCCTTCCCTTCCTGGGGCTTTTCCAAGAGCAACCTGAGAACCCACTGTCAGAGCTCCAGGTCCCAACAGAACCCAGCGTCACGCTGGCATACTGGGGCAACATGAACTGAGAAAATTACAGCAGCAGGAGGATATACACCAGCTTCCCCAAAAGCCATGTGTTAATGCAGCCTTTACCTTTTCCCCTTTTGGTCCTGGAGGTCCCTGGAAACACACAAAAAGGATCCAAGTTAAGGAACATCAGAATCATCAGTGCACGTGACACCAAACACAAGGAGATTGCATTCATCAATTCACAGACCAGAGCCATATTCTCTATTATTTTAAAGCATACATGCTATTCTTTTAAAGTTACACGCTGCTTGACACAAGCAGCACACTTCCAGAAGAGCACCCATGAGGTTCTGCCTGCTCCTGCCAGGACAGAGGATGGAGAAGGGACAGGGCAGGGCAGGCAGCATGACAGCCACTTGCAAACACGTGACTCCAAATAGATGAAAAGGATATCTTGAGGTATTAAATCACTTCTAGAAAAAACACATGCTCAGCATATCATTACAACAATTATACATCTGTTTGAAATAAACAGGGAGGACGGGCTGCTTTCTTTGGCCTATTTGCTGAAGGCATCATTCATCTTCCCTCTGAGCAGCTGCCTGTAAGACAGGCAGAGACACACTGCAGCCCCAGAGAGAACCCGAGAGCAACACTGTGATGTGCCTGCTCTGCATCCTCCTTCCAGCACAGAAAAATACTAAATCTCAGGGTTCAGACCAATTCAAGGAGTTTGCTGAAGCAGGACCCAGTGGGATGCAGTGGGGGAAGGTCAACAGAGAGGTCAGCAGTGGCAGATCTGCATCCCCACGCATCCCTCCCACTGTTAATTGCTCTCTAAGCAAGGCTGCTGGTATGGAAGAGATCATGAACAGTCTGCTTTGGCTCTGGCTGTTTGATAAATTTGCTTTTTCATTGAGGTTTTCCCTGTCCCTCACTCAGGGTCTCACTCCTGCCCGGTAGTGGCACCCTGGGTGCAGGACTGTGCTCCCAGTGTCCGACTGTGCTCCCATCACGGGGTTTTGCTGATTCAAAGCTGAGCCCTGAGCACCACAGTGTGAGCTGGCCTTCCTTTTTGTTTCATTTCTAATCCTTTATTTCTAGATTTTATTTACATTTGTTGTCTTCAGGGGTAGGATAAAAACCAACAACAGCAACGTACAGCTTTAACAGCACGTCTCCTACCTAGCTAGAAATAAGTGTCTGGAGTAACTTTTCAATTGCAAAGACTGAATGACTTCTGCCCACATTGAAATCCCAGCTGCTTTAGGACCATAACTATAAAAGATTTCAGATTGTGCCCTCTAGGAAAGGTAGTGCAAGAGAATGGGGTTTGGACACAAAACATGGAACTGTGACCTTCTGTAGGAACCATCCAACAGAAGGAGTTGGAGCTGGCCAGAGTTCAGCTAGCATGAAAGTAAAAAAGTCTGGGTTTCTGTAAAATAAGTAAGAAAAGAGTGGAGCACCTGAATATCCAAAGGGCTTCCAACAAAAAAATGAAGTCAAGAAAACAGCTCATAAAATGAAGTCCAGCTGTTCCAAAAAGTATTGCATGGACACTGTGCACTCTTCAAGTAGTTCCAACCTCAGCTCCTTTGGAGTGAAATGGAACCCACTTTGGGATCAATTATTTTTATGGTATCACTTTGTAGTGCCAGGAGCACACAACCAAGATTACTGACTTTGCTTCTTTGAATATGCTACTGGAGATTATTTCCCAAATTTGGCCTGATGCCCATCTGCAGTCTCTGCTCACTGAGTTGGCACAGGAGGGGAAGAAGCAGCTGAGATGAGCTGACAGGTAAAAAAAAAAGGTCACCTATAGCTGTGCTGGCCAGCCCTGGCTCAGAATTCAAACTTGCATGTGTTACAGACCATGGAGCTATTTCCCAAATACAATTTTCTCCCTTAAACTGTTATATATGTAGTAATAAACGAGTAGTAGTTGACATTCTGAATATTTATTGCAGAGCAGCACGAGCAAAGACATGCTATATTTGGCACCTGGTGCTACTTACTGGTTTGCCATCCAAACCAAGAGGCCCCTGGAAAAGAAAGGAAAAGAGAGTATTATTAAAATACATAAATAAATGATCAATTTACAAACACAACAATATCAGGCATGCTCTGAAAGAGGCTCTACTTACATATAGCACAATCTTTGGCTATGATTCTATGATATACCTAATCCTTCATCCATGCAATCCAGCAGGAAGGTTTCAGGGAAGTACAGTAAGAGGCATCAAACAATTTGCAGATTATGAAGGAGCGTGAAAGGAAGCGACAGGATTAGTGACAGGGATGAGGTGACAGTGCCCTGGCACAACACTTGGGACTCCCTGAGGCTTGTAAAGTCAAAAGGAGCAGCAGTAAAACACCCCTGATTTGGGTAAACGGAGCAGATCCACGAGTGATTCACATCAACCTCGGACCTGAACCATTTATTTTTGCCGAAGGACTCGCTGAATCTCTACCAATTTACCCAAGATGTGATGGGTGATGGTATCAGCCATCACCCTCAGTAAAGTCTCACTGATGGAAAGAGGTTTCTTGCTGTGGAGAAAGGGAAGGTGCATCTGCCCCACGGGCTGACAGCTCTGTGCTTTGCTCGCCTGCAGTGACACAAAGCTGCAAGTGCATTTGTAACTGCAAGACCAAGCACTTGGTTACCCCAGTTCTTCCCCAGGTCTCCCCTTCCTAGGGCTGCTGCCTGGTAAATCAACATGAAAAATGGTTATTTCCCTGCCATCTCTGGCATTTATGCCCTTAATTAATGTGAAGCCACTGACCGTGTTGGGCCATAGGAGACTTTGCTTTTGAGAAGGGATGTGTGTGGGGAGGAAGCACAGGTGCTCTAAGCTGCCCCTGCCCTCAGCTGCAGCTGGCACACAGGCACTTGGGGATGAAGAAACACCCCCAAGTTACGGTAAATCCCAGAACTGAATCCCCACCAATCCACAAACCTAACACCTTTCCTTATTTAAGCCCAAAGAAGGCTCAGCCCTGCAAACTGTCCCTGAAGAGACACGGCACGATGGTTGCGAGTCAGCAAAGCCCTCGGTCAAAGCTTTCACACCCAGATTTCCAACGTGTGCTCCCGTGCTTCCCTGGGCAAGGATCCACCCTGGAGGGATCAGTGTCCCTGTGGCAAAGCCTGACCCAACACCACAGCCTGGTTCTGGTGAGCTCAAACCCAACCCAGCCTTGTTCTTGTCCCCTACCAATGGCAAATCCAAGGGCTGTGCTTGCACATCCTCCTTCCAACATGCTGGGCTGAAACATCTCCCACAATACAGCCCTGTCAGCTGGGGGGATCTACCAAAGCAAACATAATTTGGACTGTGGGACAACACAAGGCTAAAGCACCAAAGGTCTCTGTATTTCTTTCAGGGAACTGATTAGGGTGACTCATTTTTAGTTTAGCTTCTATCTGTGATGGGGAAATTGGACAAAAGAGACAAAGGTGTGAAAGAGGAGGCCAATGGCTGCACTAAAAAGAGCATCCTTCCAGCTCACAGCCATTAACAAGGAATAAATCAGTCTGTAATGGCTATGGAATAGGAAATCCTGGGGGACACAGCTCTGTTAGGAAAGAGGTAAATCCAGGTGGCTGAACACTGGGCAGGGCATCAGTACCTTGGTCATAAGGGCTGGGGCACCTGTATGAGAGAAGTTCACTTGAAAATAAATGGGCATTTCTTTACACACATGAGATTTCTGAAGTTATCAAACACAGTTTACATTCACCATGTGATGTGTATTATTTCTCATAAGGAGCTACCAGTGCAAGTAGCAGCAATGAACAATATAAATAAAGCAGTTGTGTCTGTCAGCAAGCAAAGGCTTGCAGGTCACAACCAAACTACTTCTTCTTCCCCAATGCCTCCTCCCTACTTTATTGAACCTCAGTTGCTTGGATTATAACACCTGGGAAAGGCATCAGGTCCATGGAACTTCTTTTCTGAAACTATGATTGTTTGAGGTGATTCACCTGCAACTCCCTGTCCTCCAGAGGGCAAGACATGGGACCTGAGCAGAGAACTGGCTGCACATTCAACTTCTCAGAGGAGTAGAAGTCCCAGATTTTATTTATTTCTAATATACAATACCAATTCATCAGCTTTTAGCTATTCTTGTATCAGTCCACAAAAGGACATCCAGAAGGAAAAACAATGGCCTATTCAGAGGATGTTTGTTTAAGGGAAAGTATTTAATGCTTGAGAGAAACAATATCCATCAGGGTTTCAAAGGGGCTCCTGGCCAGCCATGGCACTGAATGGACAAGACTAACACAGACTTTTAAATGTCTTGTTAGTCTGGGCTGGGGATTTAATTGTCTCTGCTCTACCTGCCCAGCCAAATGTCTGTGTGAGCAAGGCAGGACTCCTGAGAGGAGCCAGGGGATTGCATGAGTAGAGTAGGAGAAAGCATCTGAAATCTGGGCTGACTTGACTCCTTGTAAATCTCAGGAGTACCCATGTGTTGAGATCATTATTGTCTTTCATTTGAATCCTCCTCCACGTCATTTTAATTAAAGATTAAGCAATCTTCAATTTATTTAATAAACAAGGAACAGGAAAACAACGAGTAACCCCACATTCCCCCACTCAAAAAACAAAAATCACTTTCACTTAAACAACCAGCACAAAGTCTATGAAAAAGGTGAGTTTTCTGGACACCCCAAGTAAGGGAAAGCTTCACTGTGGCTTTGTGCTGTGCTTTTTGCCCTGGGGCAAATTTCACTCATCCTTCACCCACTCTTGATCACAAGTCTTTAAATCACACACACAGTGATCACACTTCACATAATTCAGTGTTCACTACATTGAGAGAGGATGAATTTTCTGCCCAGCACAAACCCGATGCTTTAAGACAAGGCAGAGGAAAAAATTCAAACAATTTCCTCCAAAAGATGATCCTGACCAAACCCATCAGTGCACTGGCCAAGTGGGACAAAATACATTGATCTGGGTGCTTTGAGGAAGATGGCACTGATGGGTTAGCAGGGAGAGCTGGTGAATGGGGCAGGGGGGAGTGACAATTGCAACCACATGCCATGGTTTGACCCCTCACAGAGAGTTATGTAGGCACGTGGTGTTCCTGTGGGAATAAAGATCCAATGGTGCATTCCCCTCTGCCGTCACCTGGGTGAGGCATTATTTATATAATGATAAATATTTTATGGTATACATTAATGATACGTTATTTAATGACATCTTAATAACATATACCATGATGCTGAGAATGCAGACAGCTCTCAGCTGGAGCTTGAGCAGAGCTTGTTACTACATCATGTACTCTCCATGCATGCCTTGGTTTGGCCACACAATATTTCAACTTCAGAGTAAGGGGCTACATTTAGATATGTTTGAAAGCAAATTCTAATATTTTTCTTCATTTTGTTTCACAGTAGAAGCTCAGAATTCTTGATATATAGCACCAAAATGCCACCTCTCTTTGCAAAAATGAGATTCACCCATTGCTGAGATCAGCTGAAGGCTTGAGGACAGCTTTGAGTTCACCAAAAAAGGACGATGGGGAGCTTGCAAGCTCTGATTCACATGCAAAAGCTCTTCCAATAAATAATAAGCATTTCCCACATATATCACTCACCTCTGGCTCAGAGCAAGCAGAGGTGCCAGCCTGGCTACCTGGCCCTCTGCCTTCCTCCTCCAGTGCCCTTCCTGCTGCTGGCAGGGAGGTACTTGCTCTAACAATGTCACAAAAATTTTAAAGGGAGGGAAATATCTAGTGAAAACAAAGCCAGAAATTATTAAGAGGACAATCCTTCT